TATGATTAAGTTTAAAAATAATTGCAAATTTAAAATTTTTTTTTTGAGGTATAGACATTTGAAAATAAACTAGTTTACTGGACCAAAAGAAGAGATTTTCACAACATTGCCGTTAAAATTACAGGAGTCGCGTCGTTCAAGGTAAAGATCACTTGAATCTGTACTTGAACTCATCTCGCTGAGTCACTCAGTGCATTATCATCGGTCTTGATAACGATGAACAGCAGATAACCTTCCTCCGTGTTAGCAAAGCGCAATCAAGCGAAAATTGCGGCTTCTCGGCATTCGTTAGAGATATGCGATGCATTCGGTGAAATTTGGTAGTAAGCACATCTATCGATCACTAATATGATTAAATTCTATATAATTGTCTTATTATTGCACAAAAAAATTTTTCTTAATAAAATAAATTTCTACATATTTCGTATTGACAATAAACGGAAATTTTATCTTATTAAAGGAAAAAGATATTAAAAATAATAAGTAATGCATATTAATACTAAGAATTTATCAAGAGTAAGCTTAGACCTTGTATTAGACCTTGTACGTGTGAGATATTAATACGCGAACTATGTATCACAAAGTGATGTTACAGATGGATTCATAGAGCAATCATAGACTAAAGATCAAATCTTAAAGACTGTGTATTTCTCAATGACGGAGTACAATACGTGTGTACTGGCATACGCATCAGCAGGATTTTCCGTTGTATCTTTATCGGAAAAATATTAGCCGGGAGGGGGGAGGGGGGAGGGGGGGAAAGATTAGTTTTTCCGCGTTAGTCATTTGCAAATTCGTTCGGCGTGGCGCTCCGACTCATCGCAATTTTATTGTCACGTGTATGTATATCGTACGTGTGCACACGCGTTTACTCGCGTGTCTCCTCTCCTCTCCTTTCCTCGCTCGTTCGTTATAGGAAGGTTCCATCGTCGGCAGAGCCGACGAGTGTCGGTGGCACGTAGTGCTGTTCAATGCAACGTCGTACAAGGTCAAGGCCACATGGTCACGGGCGGCCGGAGCGAACACGTTGTATAGATACATGTATATATATCGACTACTAGTCGTGACCCTCTCCTCCAACCCACCGTCGTCATCACTACCTCTTGCCACTGCCACCGCCGTCGCCACTACCATCGAAGGCATATCTATATCGCGATTAAATATGAACAATACACCACCGACGTGTGCGACACCACGCGCGCATCACTTGACCCTACGTCGTGGTCTCGTGGACTCTCAGGGTCACGCAACACGATAGCGTAACAATGAAACGAGATGTTTCGTCTTGACCCTTCAGCCCCTCATTAGTACTAAAAAAAAGGTAAGGCGGCAACGCGTCTGTCCGCGCGAGTCTTTGAGAAAGAATTTTTCAAGTATCTTTCATTATGTATATATTTAAGATCAAGTCGATCTAATAGAGCCATAACACTAAATATTAAATATTATATGATTTCTAAAAAGGTTATACTTTAATACGGTGTTAACTCTAAAGCTCATTAAGTTTTTATTTCAATTTCTAATCGAATGTGCCGCACCATGTGTTTCTTTGGTTACTTTAAATACATTTAAATTAAATTAGCGAAATTATATAATATATTTTACGGAAGATGATCCGGATACTGGACATTGAAAAATTATCCGCGAACAGATTTCACGTTTACGTGATATGTTGTAGAAGGCCACATTCTATATTAGAGTGCCAACAGAAATTACAAGAAATTAGACTAAAATATTTCGGTACGTAAAGCGTTCACAACAAATTGGACAAAGACAGCTATAGACATTATTGACTTATCGCCAAGAGTGAGGTACACAAAATTTTTATACATTGTTTTAGAAACGTTTCTACGCCGTGTTTCTACGATGCTTGCTCATTCAAATTTAAAGCTTTCATCAGCTTAGTGGTGCCATGCAGAAAATATAACCAGATGAAAAATACATTATGTAATGTTTGGATTATTTATTTTTATATTATAATTTGTATGTCGTGCCATTCGTTGATGTAACACGTAGAAGCGTATTCATGCTGAATCGTGAAGCTTCTTCACTTGTTTGTCAGCTCAATAAAACCGGAAATTTATATCAGCCACGTGAAGTCGACTTTGATTTAGAATAGACCCGGAAACGGCTGATAAAAGACAGGGCACGCATGTTTTCTATCCTTGACTCGTCTTATCACAAGGCCAGCTTTCGGAAACATGCCTAGTGGAAGAGGTCAATGTGGCATCATTCCATCATGTTGATCGCTATAATGTATTTACAAGATTCAGATTGGAAAAACCCACATAATGTAGGTTATATTTCAAAATATACCTACTATCTCTATATATAACTGTAATTATAAAAAAAAGTATTGATCTTACGATCAATTGGAAACATCAAGCCTGTTGAATAAATAAAATTTACAAAAATATTTCCATTCTTCCATAAATGCAAAATGTACATTTATTATTGATACTTGGTAAAAATACAGAGAACGATTAATAAGCAGCGATTAATAAGCGGCTCGATCGATATTCAATAAGCGGTAGAAAATGATAAATTATCCCTGCCACAAGTGGAACTTTAGAAAATATACTTCTCGATTGCTTTTTATTTAGCTTACGGGCTAATTATGTAAAACGTTTACCGAACGCAGCTTTTTGCAATTCTGGCGCAACCCCGCGCGAGAAATTGCAATCTCACCTCGGCTGGCAATGCCAGCCAACGACCTTGGCCTTGCCCGAATAAGACGCGGCCTTGGCGGCCGATCGATGGGACTATCAGCCGGAGTGCAAGTGCAGCGAGAGAGGGGAAACTGGACTCTGAACTGGTTCTCACGGATTCCCGGTTTAGGATCACATCGCGTGCCTCAGCTACGACGATCAGTCCGACTCGGTCGCCGGAACTATGAAAACTGTGTCACGTGTCGTTGTCGTCTTTTGAACTTTGATCCTTGGATTTCCCCGCGTCCAAATCGCGCATGCGATATAATTTCGCTTTTAACTGCGCTCGTAGCATATTGCGCAGCTCGATGGCGCTACGACGAATTCCAATGCGGCAAACTCGAGCTCGTCGCACGATCACAATCACACTCGAGAGATCCTCCTGAGGATCCGAGATATTTATGATAGGTTTACAATTTTATTTCTTGAAATATCAGTCCTTATCGATGACGCGACTATCTTGTAATAAAGATACACAAACATGTTATCGATGATATGATAATATATAGATACAAATTATATGTAATTAAAAAGTCAGAAATAAAATGCCAGAAATTGAAGGATAAAATTGTTCCTCAAAGATGATTTTTATCGATCCTCCCAATCTCAGATCGTCAAAGCGCCACGTGCAGCGATAGGTGTAAATCTTATATCGCGTTTGGCTTTTCGTCTATGGTTTAAGCCGCTGATTCAACGGAAATGTGAGAAAAGTGTGAGAATCGGCATACGATCTCGAGAAGATCTACACCGACGGGCATGCGCACCCTCGACCTTGGCACGAGGAAAATAACGTCTCTCCGCGGCGCTGTCGAAAGATTGCATAATGTTACGAGAGACACGACGGTATAATTTCGTTTCGTCTCTCTTTTCTTTTTCTTCCGCATTCACGTCCGTCGCGCATCTTTTGCGCAGATGATAATCGCTCCGCGCCGCTCTGACACGTACGCCAATTTTTCTTTTCAGTCCAACGGAAGCAAATAATCTGGTTATAATCTCTTAGGATGAAGGATCAAAACGCTGTTTTTATCATTGCGGAAATGTCAACTTCAAGAAATAAATGGATAGTTTTAGTTTTATAAATTCGTATTATCTTTTGCGCAACCAATGGTATTATACAATCGTATAATATAAGGAAACGCGGTGACAAGAGGCACAAGAAGATCGTTCTTCCTTAAAATAATAAATAAAAAAATATATTTACGCGATATATATATATATATATTCTGCAAAATATACAATATTATAAAATAGACAAGATAAAAATTTAAAAGAAATTTTTTATTTTAATGTTACTCGTATTATTCAAATATAAAAACGATAGAGAGATATTATTTTTTGTCATTATTATTGATTTCCAACAACTGTTGGACTAATTTCAATATATCTTCGGCAATATCGTCCGTATGACGTTACATCGCGTGATGCGATAACACGCATTATTAGGAACGCGCGTTAATTACTTCCGGCCTGACGATCATTCGATCACGGACGTTTTGTTATAAATGCGACCTTAGATGAGGCCTTGGTTGTTTCGCGCTAAATTTCAAGCCCGTCGCTTTAATCAGCTGGACTTTGCCACGCGTACGACACTTAGCTATACACAAGAAGTATACACGTGCAGGATTTCAATTATAATGTAAATTCGACACTCAATTAAAAATTTTGATTTAAGTAAAAACAATTTGCGGAATATAACTAGCCTTTATCATTATTGTATCACGATTTAAAGATTGTCAATTTGTTTCCAATAGCAAGCGAGCCAAGTTTAGTGAGATATCATCAGTCTGTTTGTCGAATAACACTCGCTCGTACATTCGCGGTCACTTGACGTCAGTTGATGCAAATCGAGTGCCGACTTATCGATTCCATCTCACGTCATCGCACGATAGATCACCGGACAGTGCAATTTACTGCAAATAGGTGTTACCATAAAAGACCATTATACTATTGAGAATCACTTTGTTAGGAGGTAATCGTACATAATGCACAATCAGTGCTAAGCCACTTGTACATTGTAAAACACAGTAGTAAAAAATAAACTATCAGCATTGTCGATTGATAAAAATAGTTTGTAAACAGTCATGACATAAATTTTAAAAAATGTATGATAATATTTCATGGCTATATTTCGCGAATTAATTAATCTCAAGTTGCGCATTATTCATTTCACATACTATAAATTTGATTTTCATCTTAATTTATAGCTTTTACAATGTCTGATATAATTAAGAGATAATGTCAAATGAGAAATACAAGTAGCTGCGTATAGAGAATTCATTCTTGGCAAAAGTGCCACTTGAGTGGTATCTTTTCACAGCAGTATATGTTAGATCCTAACTTAAGACTAGCTTACCGCAAGTTAAAATGCTAAATTCGATCTAGTTCACGAACGGAGGGACTTTCCTATAAGCAAGGTTTCTCTACGCAAGTTTCAACTAACAAATGGGTTATCGCTTGAGGTCACAATGACAGTAATGTCTGCGGTTGAAGAGTCAAGGATCCGAAACCTTGCAAAGCTTGTTTCCGTCTATATCGCAACCGCAGCGACATTGCATGATTGGCATCGATACATGACAAATAAGTATATTGTTTAAAATTGAACTTTGCCAACTGAAAACCGCTAAAATCTAAATTTACAGAATTGCGAAAAATAGTTTACACTTTAATAGAAATTTTTACATCTCTCATCATTTATTGATAGCTAGATAGGACGGAGAGAGCTCTAGCTTTCAATAAAGTACACTAAAATTTAATATCGTATAAAAATGTATATTATCTTAGCTAATATTTTAGATTTATAAATTTAGTTAGGCGGCCAAATTCATCACTTGGGACGTTTCGGGACACGACAAGGAACCGGCCGACATTATTCTCACTAAAAGTTTGCATCCTTGACACATAAAAGCTAAGGCGACGTAACCCGGGCAAAGAGGCCGTCCCGTTTGCGAATCAAATAGGCTGGGGCAACAATGGGGCAACCGACGCACAAGACGAACTCAATAGTTTACGATGGCCATGAGACCACTTCTTCAAAATTTAACATGTCTCTTGAAACGCGTGTAATTCTAAAAAAGAAATACGAGACCAAGTACATAATTTTTTCTTTTTTTTTACAAAAAATTTTGTCATTAATACGGTGACTAGTTAATCATCGTAAAAAAGTACTGATTTGCCTCGGTAGAGATTTGTTTATCAGAAAATTGTTTTTAGATAGACGTCTACAGTAAAATCTGATCCGAAAACAGACTCCGGAGCATCTCGCGAATAGAGCAGCGCGTATTCTAAAAATTCTGGGGTTCATCACACACGCACACGCACACAAACACTTTCAGGGTCATCTCGTCTCGGCCCCTTCACTTCCGTCGATGACTAGTTCTTATCCGATGGTTCCTGATCTATCTAATTGCAATTTAAATGATCAAAAAGGAAATAAAGTAGCACATCGTGTAAATGTCACGAAACCAAAGAACATCATCAACGAAACAAGTTTTATTTAAATTCTTTTTTTTTTTTAATAATGATCACCATCTACGTCTACGTTGCATCAACATAATAGACAATAACAAACTTTGTTTTTATGTATTATGCGAATACTTTGGAAAACTAATATGGAGCTAGAGAGATCAAGGTTGCTCCGCAAACAAGCGACTTGACTTTTAGCCACGTGTTTACAGTTGCTGTGCAGGTACTTGTAGCTTATCAGGCGTTTTAGTATACAACGAAATTAACATTTCAATCAACGCGCTATGCGCGTGGAATGGTATGACTATAAATGACATACGTAGACTGACTCAACTTTACCCTTTGTATATTGTTTTCTTTACTTTTTCATGTAAAATAGAAGATAGAATAGAATCTATCGGAGAATAGATGTGTTTCCTCGTAAAATTTTCGTTAAAAGTTTTAATACTTATGTGTCACGCTTGTTGAAGACAATTCGGAAGTATTGAGCTATTTAAGTGTTTTTCGTACACAACCATTGGGATAATTAAAATAATTGGCAAAAACAAAACGAAAATCGGCAAGGTTTCGTCTTGTGAAAACGAAATTGTGTTATCGCATTATTCAGCCAATTAAAATCGATCGTTCGACATTTGTTGCCCCAATAATTCAGAGAACCAAGGCGGATTCAAGGCCGTGTGGCGCGTTTGTTTAAACGCGAACAATACGACTCGCATTGATTTCTGACGATGATTTTTCAAGGCTAACCGCAAGAATGCGCTAACATCGTATGCGCTTTCAAAGAACAAAACTGATTTCCTCCACGGATAGTAAATGTAATTTCTTTGAATTTATATCGCAATTAATTAAAGACGTCAATTTTCCGTTCGACCGATTCAATTTCGTATTCATTTCTGATATACAAATTCGCCTTTTAATCGCCTCAGTCGGGTTCATAGAAGACCTCGGAGATCCTTGTACCTTCGTGTCCTCGGGGATTCTAGGATCTTTGGCCGTTAAACGTTAACCGTTCCAGTATATCGGGACGGAGACGTTTCTTGGTCCGACTCGACCGCTATTTTTAGACGTCATTGACATTTTGCACGTAGACACGTTCGACCGCACGTTTACGCACCGCGTGACGGGATCAAGCTCGCATCGCGAATCGTCTTGATCGCCGGGATTTATCGCGACAGAAACAGGAAAACCCGTAAAATAATTCCGAAAATATTTTCAACT